GGGGGGGTTCATCCACTTGAGACTTGTTTTTCTGTTATCATCCTAGAAGCTTGCCGCAACCCTAAAAATAGTTTTTTTTTCTTATTGTCATGCCTTCATTGCAGGCCATCCCTTGTGATCGCTATCCTATTTATAACCAAGTAGCCTTCAATGTGGTCCGGCGTAATATAACATTCATTGCTACCATTTGCCACCATAATGTCTGAAGCTAATTTCTACCAAAGTTTTGATCAAATGAAGGTCTCTATGGTGCACCAAGGGACTTGATAACTCTATTTTTCTGGGACTAATTACCAAAACTATGAATGATATATATGTATTCCCCAGCTTGAAGGGGAGTGTTAAAATCTCAACCATCCCTTGGCCCCTGATTCCACATCAAGGATGGGGATCTGTGGGAGACTCACATGGATTACGCCAATCTCCTTCCATACTTAGGTGGCTAATTTAGAAAGGATTATATTAAGGCAATTATGCATGATTTTGAAGTTACGTGTTTCTTTATTAAGACATCTTGTATAGATTTATAAATAGGGATAGTTTTGTATGATAAAATTAAGCTTTTTCCCTCTCCAATTCTCTGAATTTAACAAATACAAATGCCTTATTCACTAAAAAAAAGTATTATCTACATATGAAAAATCATTACTCATGCAAAATACAAGTTTCTAGAAATGTTTAACAAAAAATAGAGCAAAAATGGTCCTTTGGAAACAGTACCACGAATTTATTTCTAGACATAAGATAGGTATTCTAATTTCTAATCACCACACCACTACAAAAATATCAATTATATAAGAGCTAAACTTAAAATACAAACAAGGTAGCCTTAATTAAAGGAGAATTTACTTGGAACAACATTACGGATTTCTTGTGAAGGATTGATTGAGCCAACCCCAAAATAAGGCATCGATGCACTATTCAAATCTTCAAAATGCTTTAACTTCTCTTCAATTTTACTTTTCCCCACAAGTTGTATGGACACACGTCTTTTGCTTGAAGAAAAGACATACATTTCATCTGTACAGAAGCAGAAGACAAGATCAAACTTACTATAGGGTTGTTTGTCACAAAGTTTAAATGAAGGGTTAGACACCAATAAGGAGCAAACTAGAAACGAGTAGGAATGCATAAAAAATGAAAGAACAAGCTGCACCCATTGTTAAACAGAAAGTTGTGTTATTAGTAGTGTGTGACTTTCAGAATTAACAGACCATCAAACAAGATGGTGCCGGTCTCATTTAGCTGTGTTAAAGGTCGTCTCCAAATTACTAACTACTACGAGTTCTGGTTCTATGTGAGAACTCAATCATCCAATACAAGTTGTGAGTAACCAGGGTTTCCAGTATGACATCAATTTATTGATCCTCGCAATTTTAATTTGCTAATTTTAATTATGGCCTAAGAGTATCAATCATCAAGTTTGTGATTATGACACTGGAGCGCTTTATGCATATGCACCATTTAATCTTACTACGTTGGATGATATCATTGCATAGCTGCAGTACAATCAAGTTGGTTTAGCCAAAAGACTAATCTTTAATAGACCAAAAGCAGTCGAACCCAGCAATAAACCAGATCAATTTTCAAACTTTTCTAGCATATATTTATTTATGGTTCAATTTTCTAATATTTTTATGGATTTAATTTTATTATTTTTAATAAAACAAATATTATAACAACATAATGATAGGAGTAAGACAAAGATAAATACCAAAAAATGACAAAATTTATAAAAAAAAATACAAAACCCAAATACATATAGCATAAAACCAATGAAAAAAATCATCCATTAATTTACATATAGCATATAATGATAGGAGGACTCCTTTATTAGATTTAAACGAGAATTTGACTTTTAATAGGACACAATGGAGAAAAAGGATTCATGTAGCCGACCCCACGTAGTGGGATAAAGGCTTGATGTTGTTGTTGTTGTTGTTGTTATTTTCCTAAACCCTAGAAAATAATAAACGAGAAAAAAAAATAATTCGGACTGCATTGCTTGAAGCTTAGTAAAATAGAAGCACCCCATTTGATAGATAGGATTTCAGATCTCCTATACAACATAACGTCATCACTCATTATTATCCCATCAGAATCAACAAATTGCGAAGCATCATGTTCATCCATTCATTAATAGAAGGGAGAGGAGAAACTTCCCGAATCGAATAATTGAATTCCATTGTCATCTGCAGAAGATGAAGACACCATTTTTATAGGACTAGCAAGGGAAGGCATAATAGTTTTAGGCTCCTAAGTTAACGGGTTCTAAATTTTAAGAGTAAATATGAATCGATGACAAGGCAACTACTTCTATGAAAGAATGGTCTAGACATTTGAATATCCATCTTATGGCTAAATCTTTGATTTCTTCAATTATATATGAGCCTTGAAAGAATTAAAAAAATTGCACCAAATTTTTTAAAGAATGAATAACATTGGAGGATGCCTGTAAAGACTATCTTTGTTAATATCCATAAGGCTCCAAGCCAATCCACAACTCCTTTTTCCAACGGCAAGGTCGCGTCCATTTCTACTAAACTACAGCCACAGAAGACAGTGATGGATGAACAATAGTTGGTTCCACATATGCACCAAATTGGAGAGACCACTTAAGCAAACACATCAAAAAGCCAGTGACATCATAGGTGCATCTACAGAAGAGTGTGATGTAGTCTACATCTTAGGAGTTAGGATAGTCTAATAATAATGTGATGAAAATCAATAGACCCAACTGAATAGTGATGAACCAAGTTTTAAGTCTGATAGTGATTTGCGAATGACATCCATGTTTGGACAACCTAAGAAGAATTTTCCAATGATAGAGAAAGAAAGCGATCTAGCAAGCTCAAAAATCTCATTCTAAAAGGAAATGAGGCAATATATGCCTTGATGTGAAGATAATTACTTATGTTTCTGTGGAACTGAATATTGATGAAAAATGAAAAAAAAAAATGTTAAAAGGAGAGGGGTATTGAGTCAGATAATCTACCCACAACTTTTGCAAAAGAATAGAAGTAGTGAGCAATAAAAGATGCAAAATCTAATGAAATATGAGCAGCTGAAAAAGCCTCAAAAGACAATTAGCACAGGAGACAAAGATGATGGCCAAATCAAAAGAGCCATAGTAATCCTTGAAGAATCTAAAGTGGTGAGTGAATGCGATGGAATAAAAACAAAATGGATGGAAAGCCAATGAGTATTGATACAAAGCACTGGGGAAACAAGCAACAATTAACACGAGTGACGAATAAAGTTGCCCAAAGGGGACAGCAATGGACAATGAGGGAAAAGTAGTGCATGGCGCTACAACCCTATGTGGCCCACTAGGAGCCATCGAGTGCAATGGAATGTGCAAAGTTCACAACCACACATGAGCATGCAAGAATGTGCGCAAGCACGTAAGAGAGCAAGCACATAAATGCACAACATATATGCACGATTGCATGAGCATGCAACTAACTGAAACCTACATACTAGGGTGGCTAGCCATAAGCAGCAAGAGCAAGGGCATGGCAGACTAGCAAAAATGATGCAAGCAAGAGCAGCAACGATCCAAGCACATGAAGGGAAGCTAGGATGCCAATTATGTTTAATTATCCTCTTTGGATAATATTAGTTTTGAATTTGAAATTATAGTAGGATCAGATTTAATTTCAAATAAGATTAGATTTATAATCAAATATTTAGTATTATCTTATAATCATTTTTTTATAAATAAGAATTGATGGCTTGTATTCAAATCATTGATTATTGAATATTACTATCAAATGAATGAAATTATTGGTAAGGCTGATTGACTAATTTCTTTAGATCTCTAAGTAGTGCAAGTGAATCACTCAAAATTGTGTGCATGAAATTTCTCCTTCGTTATTCTCCCCTCATTAAACCTCTCACATTCATCAATTTTGATATCAAAGCAAATATTCAAAAACTTGCCCTTGATTTCCATTAATCATAATCCTCATAGCCTACAAGCCAACTATAAGACTATGGCAATGGCATTGACATCAGTGAAGCTTACATCTCATAAGCCCCACTGCCCAATGACATAAATCCCAAGCCACACTAGCCCTCAAACTCACAACCCAAATCCAGGCTAACCATGTATAACAATATCATCAACTCGAATCCTAGTTGTCTCTCGCACCCAAGAACCATACTTAACACACGCTGCATAACTTCTAAAACTTTTTGAAGCTACAAAACCCTTAAAATCTCATAACCCACCATACATGTTCTCTTGACCCCACAAAACTTAAAACACTTTTCAATTGAATAGCATGTGTCAAAACTTTAACATCCTTTCCTCTATTATGATGACCTCATGAAGATATTTATGATTACCCACCACTTACTAATGATGAAATAGATCTTGAGGATAGTTATAATTTACTACTACCTAAGTTTACTATTGCGCCTAAAGTTTAGCTTGAGATATTATAAGAAGATTAAATTAGAGCTTATGGTTGATGAAGTACCAAAGATTGAAAATATTATCAAGTATAAGATAGCATTTAGACAGAATCTATTGAGATTCCTATTATAATTCACTTTTCATTATCTCAAGAATCATATATTACTTTAAATGATTATAATTTGCTTCAATTAGACATATCAAAGGTTGAGTTTTTGCCACCATTACCACTATCGATACCCAGCCTATTGTTGGTCCACATTGCAAAGATCTACCAAGTGTATGAATTTTGAAACCAGCCTGCATCAAAGCCTCCAAATCTTTATGTGCTCTATGGACATCTTCCTCCTATTGCTCCTTGTGCTGCATGGTCGCTTTTACCATCAAATATCCAATGGTCCACGTCATCCACCTTGGACATCTTCTAAAAACTCTTCAAGATAATAGTTCTTTTTTTTTCCAGGAGAACTAATGAAATAAAAATTCAGTTAGATTGGCTTACAAAAGACCAATTCTTAATAGGTCTACTAAAAAGAGTCAAATCAAGTTAAAAAATGGCTAAATCGAACAAATTTTCAGGCCTTTTAGACACATGTTTATTATAACAAACTTTTTGCATGCTTTATTAGGTTCAATCATCCTTTTTAGATAATATTATTTTTTGAATTTAAAGATTTGGTACCATTAAATTTACTTTAAAATGGACAAGATTTTCTTTCAAAAATTTGTGTCTTACCATTGTAATCATATCGTAAAATCCGACAGCGCTGATTCAGTCGAGAACAAGTCCAATAGCGAATTTAACATGTCGAGATGGGCGAGTGTGGATAGTAAGAAGGCGAGCGGGTTGCGGCAAAGCGAAGCGGACAATTGTAAGCACAGGTTGATCAACGAGACTCCTTATGTGATTAATAGATCGATTTCACTCGATTTTCGAAGAGTTGAAGCCTGAGAGAGAGAGGGGGGTAGAGAGAGAGGGGGGGTAGAGAGAGAGAGAGAGAGAGTCTTTCTTGTGTTGCCGAAAGTGAAAGAGAAGGCAAGAAATTTGGGGGTTCGTGAATTCATACTCAATCAAGAGGAAGGAGGGGGGAAGAATTTGGGTGTTCCTATTCAACAAGAAGGAAAAAGCGTTCGTGCTTTTCCGTTTGATTTCATTTTAGAAGGATTTGATGAGGTCAAAAAAGAGGAATAAGATGGACTTGTGCATTGGCAACGAACAGTATTTATCGAAGACAGAAAATTCTGAACCTGTTCAATTGGCAACAAACAGTATCTATCAAAGCCAGTTTTTATTGCAGTTTAATAGGAAGGAGTTTAATGATCTTATTGTTGAATTTGAAAGAATAGATGTTTCATCGATCATAGTGGATTACACCTTTATCATAAAGTAATGATCTACCAAATAGAATATGGGGGCTATATCTCAGACATGACATCAAATTTAATCCTCATAACTATCATCTTAAGCAAGACCAGGCATCTGGATATGATAGGTATGGAGTTATGGTAGATCCAACTTGCATGAAAAGGCTCAGATTCTAGGTTGTTCCTAAGGAGGGCATTAGCCAAGATAGTGTTCATTATGCTTCCAACATCAATAGCAATTTTATATATTTTTCTCATTACTAATATATACATTACATCATTGCAAATATTCTAAATTTGTTTGGCCACAAAAACATCTCATAATGATTATAGGTGTATCATCCAAGCCATGGTCATTTTCAAAAAGAGTTCATCATTCAAAAATTCCTCACAATTATCAGGTTCAAAGGGGTCAGTTTCCTCTAGAAATAGAATTTTGTTTGTGAATTGATTATGCATGTGCCCTTTTTAAGATATTTTAGGTAAATCATATCATGGGTATTCCTATAAGTAAATTCATGAAGGGTTGGCTGCTGAGCACTAGTAGAATTGAGGTTGTGGGTCCAATAGTAGATTTGAATGCGGAAGTAAGAAAGACAGGGTTCTTATGCTTTATAGAGAGAGCAATTATTTGTGTTTCTCAATCGTTCTGGCAAAGTGAAAAACCTCTTCTAGGGTATAAGGATCATGTAGTTCTACTTTATTCATAATTTTCTATCAGAGATCAATGACAAACTTATTGGCAAGTTTCCAATCAAGATCAATGCAAGTTATCATAACTAAAAGGGATCCATAGGAGTTCATATAATCAGTTAGAAGATTGATTGTTTCAAGTGTACCGCAGTGAAATATGAGAGTAGAATAAAATTCAATAAGTAACATATTTTTAAAAGTAGAATTTTTACTAATGTAAATGTGATTTTTATAAATATAAAGGTTGTCCCTGATATGATAATCCGTAGTGCATAGTACGACTTTTGCCAATTATGATGTAATTTGAAATATCTCTGAAGAATTAAAAGATTCCTGCTTTGATTGCTGAAGAAAAGAAAAAAAATAGTGATTAATGATAATAAAGAAGAAAGAGAAAAGATGGAGAACTACCTGGTGTCAGGTGTACTAGATAAAGAGGCGGCAAAAAAAAAATTTCTGAGCATATATTCAATGGTGAAGTTGAAACCTAAAAGCTTATAAAGGTGATATTGTTAATCATAATTCCTAAGTTGATTTTGTAGTTCCCGAATGCTTTTATGATCAATTCGAATGACAAATTGAGCACCCAAGAGATATTGGCACCATTTGCATACAACTTCCTCAGTAGCTTATAGTACTTTTAAATAAATGGAGTATTGAGACAAACTTAAACCGAATTTCTTACTAAAGAAAGCAATAGGATGATTATTTTGCAACAAAACAGCACCAATGTTTTAGAGGCATCTATTTCCAATACAAATGGTTTAGTGAAATGAGGAAGAGTTAAAACAAGATTAGCAATCATGGCTAGTTTTAAATTATGAAAAGCGGTGGAAGTAATAGTGTATCATTTAAAAGCATCTTTTTTATGGAAATTGGTTAATGGTGCAACAATAAAAGCATAATTGGAAATAAAACAGTGATAGTAAACGATAAATCCCAAAAAATGATCTTGATTATTTTAAAGAAGATGGGTTAGGCCAGTTAAGAATAGACTCAATTTTCTTTGGATTGGCTTTAACACTACCGATGGAAGCCGTGAATACTTGAAATTGTTATAATGTTGTGCCGATGGAAGCAAATTGAACATCCACTTGTTGTAGAGATTTCTGAATTTCAAAGAATTGCGAGTCACTCTAGATTGGATTGCATGGTACTTAAAGCTTTCAACAAACATATGATCATTCTCTTGAGACAATGATTAAGGTATCTACACAGCTGAAATCGTAATCTTCTTCTTGAGAGGAGTGGAGGCATGAGAGAAGATAAGAAGGGAATCTTGGGTTCAAGAGTATGATCACAAAGTTGGCTGATAGGGGTTGTTTGGCCCTGAATAGTGAATACAGCATCTGGGAACGTTATGAGATGGTGAAATTGATTCTTGCCGACACCAATGGGGTGGATAGCATAGCAGATTGGCGGACAACATTTGCTAAAGTCGCATGACAGCAAGGTAGATTGACGAACAGCAGGGTAGAGTAGGAAATGATTTGGGGGGTGAAATTGCAACTTGCAGAGGTGTGAGAGGAATGCAATGCAATGAGAGCACCAATTTGTTAAGCTTCTTGATTGAATCAAGAATATTAGGGCACCTTTTAAGTAGGCGTGTACTCCTTCCAGCAAATTGGGGTTATTTATAAGTTTATGCATGTGGTAGAAAGGGGCTAGTTGTGTAAACAATTAGTAAAACAAGTTAAAATAGTATACTAGCTAATATGGGTTCAGTTATTAAAAACAAAATCATAAGTTGGTTAAGTCCATAGACCGGTTTATGAACCAGCTAGGCAGCTACTGTATTGTAGCAGTTATTGGATCCTTTGGCTAATTTTGTAAAGCATATAGATTGTCTTTCGATGCTATCTTCTTCCTTCCTCTTCAGTGGCACACTATAATGTTTGAATTGTTATTATTAGCTTGTTCTTCTACTTTCTTGAGCCATTCCTCATCTTGTTTTTGTATTACATTTGCATCCAAGATAATGTAACGGTGCTTAACACATGGTTCATTATAGTACAATCAAAAGTAGGTTGTATAGGTGTTGTCATGACCTAGGGTTGTATTTGGCTTTAAGACATTCCTTCTTCTCGCTCAAATCCATTAGATTTTATCAATGTTAAGTTCTTTGGCTAAGATGTCAGTCTAGTAAGTTTTCTTATGCCCTATAAATTCTATCTTGGTAATATTGGTTCACCGATAATCATCCATAGTATATTAATCAAACAAATCCTATGTATGGGTCAAATAGTCAAACACTCTAAGAACTTATTATAATCATGTATTACATCAAAATTAGGGACTTTTATTTTGATTTTGGTGTAAAGATCATCAAAAGCCCTAAGGTCGTATCTAAGATGATGTCCTTTGACAGGAAGATCCCTAAATTGGTCATCCATGGATTCAACCTTAGGTGAGTTTCGGAGTCTAACAATCATGTTTAGTAGTTGATCTTCAAGTATTTATAACATATTTTAAAATACATCAATTTTTATGGCAATAACCCCCAATAGCATCCTTTTTTTTTTAATGATTTGATATAAGTTATTAAAAATATTTTGAAACTCTTCCAATTGATATAGGGAGGCAGATTTTTGAGGCAAGATGGCAAACAGGGTGCAGTGCTTTTAAATGCTATTTATGAGAGGCAAATGAGAGGAAAAAAACTTTAGATGAAAAAGAGAATATATATCTATATATATGTGCACGCGCGTGCGCGCACGTGTGCATGCAATCATCATGAATTTGATGCTAAGAGAACGCCTGGTTTTGAAGGAAAGTACACAATCACTTATATCTCAAGCTTTTGTTGGGGACAAAATTCTATTAGCATTAAAAAACACAAAGTTTAGCACATTTTATCATTATGCATGCAAAGAATGAAAAAAATTGATTCATATGCTTGGATCATAGTGATTCATATGCAATATATTTCTTAGGATTGAAAAGATGGTCATCTCTGTAACTTTATCTTATGGAGTTGTACCAAGAGCAAAACAAAAACAAAAATTTGGCATATTATATATTTATCATGATGTTTGAAAAAAAAAGGCATCTTCCATGCAAGACACAGTGGCAGAACTATCAATCAATGTTCTCAAGAAAAAAAAAAGCGAGTAAGACAAACATGATGTAAATTTGTTGTATAACTTGTCCCACATATAATCCATTAACCCAACAGCCCAATTCAACTTTCTATCATAAGTTCATAACCAATATCCTAGTCTGAGGAGGCCTCCATCAATCCCTATATCACTTGCAGGGCATGATGGCTCAACAGGGATTTCAGGGGGAACATGGCTCCATTCTACATCCTTCAATTGATCAAACTCTTTAACCCCAAAGGAGACAAGGGCTTTCATGCTCTCTTTTACTCTTTCCATAATAAATTATGTTGCATTCGTTTAAGGTTAGCTTCATCTTCAAGCTCAATCAATGACTTGAGCATAGAAGGTTCCTCATGGAGATGAAATCCTCAAGTTATGGGAAAATTATTAGGTCCGGACACCGGACCTTAAAAAAAGTCCGGATATCAAATTAAAATTTGCCACGTGGAATGCACTTTGACTGTGTTTTAACTGCGCTTTAATTGGGCTTTGACTGCGCTTTTGACGTGCTTGACTTAAAATTCCACAGACAAGTGTGCATTCCACATGTCAATGTTTTATTGGACACCGGACCGAGATAGGTCCGGTGTCCAGACCTAATAATTTTCCCAAGTTGTGATGCTGTTTTTTTTGTTAGTCGATCATGACAGGACATTGTCGCAAGCTCACGACAATGTACTGTTCAAACTCTACCGGCATTAGCATTCAGTACGCAACAATAATAACATCAACAAATAAAGCAGCATACCTACGGCCCTAATTTCTCAGGTACCGGAAAATTCATCTTCAACAAAGATGAATTTGAAAATCATAAAATAGCTAAGTATATCAAATAATTTCAAAGATTTTTTTAGCTTATACTAACGAACTTACCTTCCTCTTGTTTAGTGGACTCGCCCCGGTACCGGAGATACAGCGCCTCTAAAAGAGAGATCCCGCCGCTTAGGTTTTTCAAGCGAACAAACGACGCCGATTGCTCATTGGTCGCCCTGAAATACTGCACTCCATTGACTCGTCCGTCGTGCTTCCCATCGCCGTCATCCCAGTCGACGCCAACCCAGTCACCGGCGTGGCCTTCCACCGGCCCGATGTAACACACCGTTCCGATCCTTCGCCGGTTTCCAGCAACATGAACCCTCTGCCCGATACATAACCCTAACTCATTCTTTCCCACCCTCTCAACCATTTGGTGTAAGGAGGCGCCAGCAGACTCTGGTGGTTCGCCCATAACGGCGGTGTAGGAACTCGGAGTCCCTGATCAAAAAGAAAAGAAGCAGTCATTCCGATTTTAATTGAAAGGAGCTAACAAAAATAAAACAGTGACTAGCCATATCCCAATGTGCCCTTGGGTGGTGGGCAAATTCTTGCGGACCCATTGACGCAAAATAAATAATATAAATTAAAAAATAATTTATCAAGTTTTATAAATAAAAATATTCAAATAAATTTTATAATAATTTAATTTTTTGTATTTTTTCTTTAAATAATATGATTTTTTTAGCGAGGTAAATATATTTATGAAATAATAAAATATTTTTAAGTGTGATGTACATGATACATAATTATAAATATTTTTAGATATAATTAAATAAATATATATTATGAATAGTTAATTTTTTAAAAATTTATAAATTAATATAAAATCTATAATGTAAGTATGAAATTCTTGGAATATAAAATTTGCAGCTATAAAGAATCCAATAAAAATAACTATAAAACGAATCCAATATAAATTATTGTGGTTAAATGAAATTTTTATGACAACATGCATTGTTCATATATTAAGTCATGAAGCTTTAGTATATACAATAGCATTAGATTTCTCTTTCCCAATTGCATGCTTGACATATAAGGAGCTAACATTTGATCGCATGCAATCAAATAGATCATAATTGTACGTAATGTTGGAGTCATAAATGTTTTGTTTAAGATTAACTGATAAATAGTGTTCAACTGCAGCATTTCGCTCCATGCCGTTTAGTTCTCATTTAATTAGATTTTTTTTAATTATTTTGAAGACTACCCTATCTAAACGGTGATGGCAAGACATTAATCTTATGAGGGTCAATGAGGAATCATAAAACCTTTGTCAGAGTTTACAATAATCCATTATTGAACAAATGTATATTGAAAAAATGATGAGAAGCCACCAATCCATTATTGAAAATACAATGGTAATTCAATGAAGCCAAGCCACAATATGTATGCATATTTGGATATTTGATCATGATAACTTGTTACTAAGCTATATGTATGTGCATAAAAAATGCATTATGACTCTACATGAGCTTTTCTAACCAAAGTTTGAATTAGATACAAAATACAAGATTAGATTTATAAAGTCAATACATCTTTTAGTTTGGCTTAATTACTTCATATGAGATATGATAGCTAATGCAACTCAATCTCAGGAATATAATGCAACAATGCAATTGGTGAGAAATAGATTTTAAATATTACAATGTATTGAAAGTGGATTAGCACAAAGGACAATTTCATATTATACTTGTAAGGTTTGTTTATGAGTAAATCACTTTGGTATAGTAAAAAAAAAAAAAAAACATAATTTTGAGTGTTATGTATCTTGTTGGGCGCCCCACTCAAACGCAACTACAAGTTTTAAATGCATAAGTTTTGTTAAGAAGGAAAAGTGATGAAGTTACAAGTAGTGGTCAATTTTGTTATTGTGGTCTTGTCCACAATATTTGAATAGACAATTGTACTTTATTATGTTTTACATTTCACTTGTTCAATTTAATTTCATGGATGTTGGTTTTGTAATGGTATCTTTATTTTTGTATTTTTTGTATGAGGTTGATTAAGTTTTAAGTAATGTTTGATTTGTTATAAGTTCTTATTTATTTTACATAACATTTTTGTTGGTAATGATTGTTCCATGTCATATATCATTAAAGTGGAGTAGATGATGAGTCTGATTAATATTCTTGCAAAACAAAAAAACATCAAGCTTTTGTCCCACTACGCGTCGGCTACATTAATCCTTTTTTTCTATTGTGTCATGCTAAAAGTCAATTTCTCAATTAAATCTAATAAAGAAAGACCATTTCTTTATAATATTTTCTAACCCATTCTTTTTAGGTCTACATTTACCTTTCTTTACATAAGTTAAATCTAATACCTTTTTACTTTTTTAACTGGGTAATGATTAATATTATTTGAATTGGAGAAAAAAATGATATACTCATATTCTAAGAAAAAGTTTTCATAATACATCAACACATTTGAAAAAAAATAATACATAATTCATTAACTAATTACAAAAAATGAAAACTTCACTAAGTTAAATAAATAGTTTTGTATTACAAGAACAATGCAACATCCCTAATAATTTACATCGTTGATGAATAGTACAATATAAATAGATTTTGTCAAATAGAATGAGTTATACTATATTAACAACATCCCAACAATCTAATTTTGACTTGTGGCCAAGCTTGCCTCTTGCAAATTGAGTAAAAGATAAAATATATAAGTAATAAAATAGATTATGTAATACATGCACAATCTTATAATCTTCGGAGTTCTCAGGAACACGTATCTCTATTATGCCCAACTTGAATGCAATAATCATATTTTTTTTTTCAAAAATTTATTGTATTTTCTTAAATTTATTTTTAAAATGTGCATTAGCCCTATCAACTCACATCTCATGATTAACGATGGATGTAGCAAATTATCCATTTTTTCATTGTTAGACTTGGACAAGATCATTCATGATATGGAATTGTGTTGAAAACCCCTTTATATTTTCAGATATCTTAAAACTTTAAACACTCTGATATAAATGATGTGCGGTCCACATACCTTATACTAAGAATTGCAAATTACATGTGGGAAAAGACATGGGGTAAATTTGTAGGCCAATTATATACACATCAAATTGCAAAGTTATTATTTGAATCATTCTATGAGAGTATGGACGAGAGCAAGTGCAATGATGATCTGATATCCAATTTATTCAGCACAAAGGCTCAATAATTTTAAATATAGTGCACTATGCAACTATCAGAGCTTGCATATGAGATTGGGAGGTAGTTCAATGTGCTACATGACAAAGCCGGTAAAACTACATATCCATAAATAATAGCACTAAGTTTCTACTCCAACGCATCCCTATGATCATTGATCATCATTTAATGTGCCATGTGATCAATTATTACTCGGTAAAACGCCATTCCACATACAAACCGTTTCCTTCCATTGCTAATATGACCTCAAATTTAGTGCAAAATCAACAATGGGAGTTACCTCTTCTCTTTCTTTATATATAATATATTATAATATATATTAATATATTATGACCATACTTATGTCACACACACTCCTCACTGTGACAAATAAAAAGTTGACGATGAAGGATTCATGAAGATGAAGAGCAAATTAGGAAGAAATAGAAGCTTATCATGGCCTCCTAAGAAAACCAATGAGAGGATCATATATTATACCCGATACACACAAGCTCATCATGCAAACCGTAATAACGTATAGATAGATTAAAATATGACAAAATATCTAATCTTGAAATGAGAGGCCTATAAAGATATACAGGATTTGTATCAGGATTTATGAGTTGAGAGAGAAGACACTCACGTTATGGATGATGGTCTGAGAACGAAAATGAGGAGCATTATGATTTGTGTTCTCTCTTTCACATCTCTATAATGAGATACGGACTCGCAAAGAGGTATGGTTACGCGGGGGGAACACACTCGTGCTATGATATGAAAGTCTCATATAAATCCGAGAGAGAGAGTTTAAGCACGCAGAGTATATTTAAGTGTCTGAAAGTATTACAAATGCGTGTACTAGTCTCGGAATCATTACTCCTCGCCGCGTCGAGGAGCATAAGCGATATATATTATGGTGCCTCCACAACACGACCTAACCCATAAAATTAAAAGAGCTGTAGAAACGAATTGTTTAATCGCCACCACGAAATGTACGCCCTTGCAATAGAAGAATAACTATTTCGTCAGACGCAAGTAACAGGACACGCTCTTGGCCTGTGTATATATTAGTCTGCACATCACTACAATCGCCGAGAACTCTGTGGGTTATTATAGCCTATGTGGCGCTTAGTTCACTGAGATTAAGGAAACACACATAAAATATGAACTGAACAAATTCGAGTTTGTGTTATGGAGGTTCAGTGAGAGAAACCGTTCAGGAGCTTGACCGGGAGAGAACTGGAACATATATTGGTGCGTCTATAAAAATATATTCAAAATTTTCATCTGAAGAAAAAAATAAACAGATGGACCAAACTAGAGAGATAATAAAAGTTTGCGTTATATATATAATCGCTCCCGAGTTATTTGAGTGATCCTAAAGAAGAAAGATAGATATATCTCTTGTACACTAACAGTGCAAGCGCCATGTGTATGAACACATGAGTTGCAACACAATCGTAGTGAGAGGAATGATAAGTCTCATTATTCACTCTCCACACCGAGAGGTCGAATATATCCAAATATATGCGATGAGTACCAACTCAAAGAGCTATATATATATATAACCACATACAAAATAAAAGACGTTATAATGAGTAACTGAGAGCACTGAGAGAGAGAATTACCTAGGGCATAATTGTTTTACATGAGTAGAACAAATCTATCTCTCGACGTTTTTAGTGAAAGAACTGACGGAAATTGCAGAGCTCTAAACTACATATCGATCGAAAGAATAACCTTCTAATCTCGACAAAGACGATCAGTATATATTAGATATTGATAATGAGATAATAGGAAATGTGATATATATATAAGAGGATAACTCAAGAGAGATATTTAAAGAAATACAAAGAGATAGGAGAGTAAAGCACTGTTATATCCACACTCGAGAATGACCCTACCTAATGCCGTGGAAAAGGAGGCACTGTTAGTTTCAGTTTTTTTTCAACCAAATTAATGTTGAGAGAAAAAAAACTCTACAAAAGTACGAAAGAGAGAGATAGAGAGAGAGATAATGGAGATATATATCAATGAGAGAGATCTAAGTCCGATGCCGCCATATAGATCAGAAACAGCTTAAATTTTATCTCAAATTTTATAGTCTCCACAGGATAGATTAAAGATAAATTAAATGAGTAATGAGAAAATAATTTTTTTTTATTAAGATAATCATAAATTTTAATTGTGAGAAAAATAACTTTTTGAACATATTACAACTCGCGATAATTGCTAGATTTATTTCATTAAGAAATTAACATTATCTCTTTAAAAATTCTATAACAATAAAAGAAATAGAATAAAAAATAATAATAAC